GAAACGTCAGCCTCTCTGCTCCTATGATGCTGCTTGGCCTGCTGTGTTCATCCAGCCCTGCACCTTGTTATCTCAAATAATTATTTGGTTTCTTTCTATGTAACTGACTCCCGGGATAACTGTTAACTCATAATCCAATGTGTTAATATGTACAGAGCCCTGTGCTGATTTTATTCTGCATCACTCCTGAACGGTTTGCTTTATTTCCACAGGTTACTTGTGCTCTGTCTTCCATCAGTCAAACATTAGAGCAGAGAGCTCTCTGAGTCATCTGTGTCCTGAAGTTTTGATGTGGCTTAAGCCCAAAATAAGATGTAAAACCCCCAAATAAATGCAAAAGAACAGTAGATTGAAAGAAAATAATAATTCAAGAGGTGTAAGTAAACATGACTTGAATCCAGAGCATCACACCCTTTCTATCAATGGTCATGAGGTATCTCAAACAATATTAGTTCAACCATTATCCATAAAGGAACTCATCCACAAGAGAGGTTGATCACAGTGAAACAACCTCGTCTATTTAGTTTCCAGCTGTATGTTGAATTTTTCTCCAGACTAGATTGACAGATTATATCAACTTAAAGTGACATGTGAGGTAAATCTGAAGTCTCTTGCCAGTTAGGTATGTCCATACTGTGAAGCTGCTGAATTATTTCAGACAGTGATCTGGGGAATCATTAGTTTGCTGTTCAGCGAAGGACACATCACTCTTACTTTTTCAAAGGTTGCTTCAATGTTGTCATGTTTTGACAGTCTAGTTCTAAGTGATGTTGGTCTAAATTGCATCTTGTCACATTTTGGGTAAGATTCTATTCAATCATTTGGGAATTATCTGACTCCTGCTATCATATGCAAAACATTAACCTGTCAGGCAACTTGATGTGGGAGAGACGTTGACAGCCAGCATACTTGGAGACAGAGATTGTAGTCTGTAAATAAGGCCAATTTGTAAGAGCTATTCCTTTTCCAACACTTTTATTCCTTAACTTATTCTGTAATAAGTACTACTGTGCTCCTGATTGGCCGGTGTCTGTCAGCATTTTATCTTGAGTCGAAAGTTCTATAATAAGCTTTAGACTAAACAGAATACGCTGTGGATTTTTTTTTAGAATATGCATTATATACTAAGTTTCATTTGCATTGATGTGTTGATGTTGACGTGCAGGTACTTTGCTACCTGATCATTTGGACTGGGTAAAATTCCACTTATCTTTGTCAGCTGAGCTTCCTGAAGTGTTGTTTGCCACTGTAAGTGTTCAAACTTTAGATTGTCACTTACACTTAAACACCTGATTCTGGGGTGCACCAGTTTCATTCCAGTGTTTTTGGCAGTGATGCAATTTCCTCTATATGTCTAGGTACCTCTGACCTTTCAGATAAAGACCTGGAAGACCTGCTGGGTGGTGGAGACTATAAACCAGATAAGAAAAATTCAGGTAAGTGCCACACAATTAAATTCATAAGGTTATCAGTTTTCACACAACGAATGGGTGAATATGTTGTACAACGTATGTATAAATTGCTATATATCAAAATATAGTTAGAGTTAAAATTTGCAAGACAGCATCTAGCCATTCAATCTGTTCCATTGAGAAGGTTGTAGTTGAGCATTTTCCATCACATTTACCACTATTGTTCTCATTTTCCTTCCTCACGTTCTCCTACAGCTCTATCCAATATTGACTTTGTATTTGCTTCATACAGTAACCTTGGAAGTGAGTTGTTGTCATCATAACTCTGGGGCCTAAAACTTTACAAATAACTATTCAGGTAACAGAAGGGCTCTATTATATTCTGCTGAAAGTTCTCAATTTGATGCAAATGGTTTCAGGTTGAGATCAATGAGGGAGTGACGGGCGTGAGCTGATTTATGTGGCTTTCAGTCCCTGTTTCATAGTTAGAATCTCAGTTCATTCTTAACAGTACGTAACGAGTTCTCCACGCGTGCACAGGGACATGCTGGCAACCGCGATTCCGGAGACAGAGACCGAGGTCATCTGGGTAGCTTCTGGTAGGGCAGCATCTTTAATGGTCAAACATGGCTATATTGATAATCGCTGTGCTCCTCCTCTGTGCCCTCCTAAGGAAAACACAGCATTACTTTTCAATACCCAGCTCCACCCCCTCACGATCACCCTCTCTTGTCGCCTCCACCGTCACTAATTAATCAAAATACTTACCAAAATACTGTCATGGACGAGCAGAAATTTTGTCCTTTTGGATACTGGGGAGACTGAAGCCACTTCAGACTTCCCACTTCACAAACTCTGTTCCTGAGCTGTTGGCTCCTTCCAGCTCCCTGGCACAGTGTATAGTTAAGCCAGTCTGCAGCTCACATTTTAAGCAGGGATGAACCTCTGGCCATATTCATACCTTGACTAAGACTGTCTATTTCTAAATAGACAACATTGTCCCCACCTCAGTTCATCTGCTGCTGAAAATACCATGCGTGCCTTTGTTACCTCTAAACATGGCTACATCTTACCGGCTGGTGTTCCACTTTCTTCCTCTGCTTCAGTCCCTCCTTGTAGCTGAGGGTCGGTTCAATGTTGCCCCATTCCCTTCTACTGTAAGCAACAGAAGCTTTGTGACTAGATTCTGTTGCTAGACTACCTTCTGCCTTCAACGTGCATGTCATCTAAAACTCTACTGCACTTGTCTTAACTTGCACAAAGTCCTGTTCCCCTGTCTCTCCTCGGCTCACTGATCTACATGCAACATCTTGACTTTAACATTCCCAACTTTATTAATCAAATCCCTCCATGGCCTGGACAGATGTACAGCCCCCACATCCCCTTGCCCACCTTTTTGCCAAATCTCTGTATTCCCGTCCAGTTCCACCACCCTCCCAGATATTCGTGTTCCTATAATTCTGGTTTCTGTATCTCCTGATTTTAATTTCTGCACCATTGATGGCCACTTAGGCTCCAAGCTCTGAGATACCCTTCCCAAACATGTCCCCCTCGTGTCCTCATTTTCCTGCTTTAAGTACATCCTGCATCTTTGACCAGACCTCTGATGACCCGATGTGATACTGTATACCCTAATGTAGATTAGGACTTCATCTATGAGGAAAATTTGAGTAGACTGGGGTTCTTTACAACAGAAGTGACTGAGGCAAGTCTTAACTAAGTTGTAAAAAAAAATGAAGGAGGCTACTTACAGTGGATAGGAAGGAGCTATGTCCATTAGCAGAGAGGTCCATAACCAGGAGGGCATGGATTTAGACTAATTAATGGAAGGCTTACAGGGGAGCTGAGTAACTTTCTCTCCCTGAGGATGGTCTTGAATTCACTGCCTGAAACAAAAGTAGAGGCGGAAATCCTTCTTTTAAAAAATATCCGAAGCTGCTGTAAGCTTCAAGACTATGCACCAAGAGATCGAAGGTGGTTTCTCTCTTTTCTGCTTTGGTATTGCAGACCAACTTTTGCACTCTGCTAACAGCTGTTTGATTGTGCACCCAGCTAACAGCTCGATAATGACCAGATAGTCTGATTTTGTGGTAACGATTGAGGGATAGAATGTGGCTGGGATGCGGGAGATGGCTTTCTTGGTCATCTTCCAACTAGTGTTGTGGATCTTTTACAGCCACCCAAGAAACAGCTGGGTCTCAGTTTAAGGTACCATCTGCAGTGGTCCATTAGTGCTGTGCTAGACAGTCAGCTTTGGTTTTAATGCCACTGCTTTGTATTAGACTGGACAGTTCTTTCTTGGCTGACATGGATATGGATGGCCTCCTTCTGTGTTGTAATTTTTTATGTATTTCTGTTAAAGCTGTGGTTACCCTTCAAATGTACCTCGTGGGTCAGATGCACTTTAGCATGTTCTGAATTAGAAACAGGCACTATATAAATACAAGCTTTAGCATGCACTTTAGCATGTTCTGAATTAGAAACAGGTGCTATATAAATACAAGCTTTCCTTCACTGCTGTTTCCTTCCTTCTCTTCTGCAACAGAACAGTCTTGAGCAGGTTTAATTGGGATCTTTGTTGTTGTATGAGATGATTTCCAATGGACAACATGTTCATAGTTACCTGTCACCATCTGTGTCCCATTTTAATGGCCATCATGGTGAAACACTAAAAGAACTCTAACCTTGTTTTCTAGGTGATGACATACCTCCAGGTGACCAGGATCAGGGTAAGTGTTCCTAATTTCTTACATTTCAACAGAAGGTAGCCTAGCTGCTGGCAGCTGAGACCTCTATTTTATGGAGCACATTGACAGAGGCTTCTATGGTGACAGCTCAGACCAGTCACCTGTAATAATAAAGGAATCAGTCATACAGCATTAAAGCAGGCCCTTCAGTGTATGCTGACCAACAAACACCAAACTACACGAATCCCATTTACCTGCACTTGGCCAATAGCCTACTCTCCCCCTGGCATTTTAAGTGCTCATCCAGATGCTTCTTAAATGTTGTGAGAGTATCTGCCTCCTCCAGCCTCTCAGGCAGCACCTTCCAAACATCTACCACCTTCTCCTCCAAAAGAGCTGCTCTGGTTTTAGACATGTCAGTCATAGGGAAGAGATTCTCACAATCTGCTCTGTCTATGCCTCTCATAATTTTGTATCCCTCAATCTGATTGCCCCTCAGCTTCCTGTGCTCCAGGGAAAACAAACCCAACCAGCCTGTCCTCCTAACTGAGACTTTCCATCCCAGGTAACATCCTGGTGAATCTCCTCTGCATCCTCTCCAGTGCAATCACATTCTTCTGATAGTGTAGCGATCCGAACTGCACACTATGGCCTAACCGATGTTTTATAAAGTTGTAACACTAGTTCCTTGCTCCTATATTCTATTCCCTGTTGATGCCACCCTGTCTACCTGTGCTGCCACCTTCAGGTATCTACAGACTTGTAAACTGAGGTCGCTTTGTTCCTCAGTACCTCAATATCAGGCTGTAGACCATCCTCCTCGTTATCAACAACACCCCAGTTATCGTGTCATCTGCAAACTTACTAACTTCTAGATCCAAGTTGTTAATATGAATAACAAGCAGCAAGGGTCCCTGCACCGATCCCTGTGGTACACAGCTGGTCAAAGGCTTCCAATTACAAAAACATTCCTCCACCATCACTCTTGGCTTCCTACGTGTAAGCCAATTTTGCATCCAGTTTGCCAACTTGCCTTGGATCCCATCGGCTTTAGATTTTGGACCAGCCTTCCATGTGGAACCTTTTGAAAGGCCTTACTGAAGTCCATGTAAATCACATCAGCTCCACTACCTTCATCAATATATTTAATCAACTTTTCAAAAAGCTCAACTAAATTAATTAGACAGGGTCTCCCTCTAACAAATCCATGCTGACTATCCCTGATCAGTCCCTCCTTTTCCAAGTATCAGTTAATCATGTCCTATAGAATTTTTTTTTCCAAATTTTCAATTTTACAAGTGATGGTCGTGCAAGTTTGATAAAGTCACAATCTTTGTTTCTGACAAGTGTAAAAATGAATTTGCCATCTTCTGGTGGATTTAGGAAGAGAAGGTGATCAGTATATTAACTGCATCTACCATCCAAGGCTTCTAAACTCTGTGTGCACTTGCCCAATTAAAATCTATTCATCTCAGTTTTGAAATTTTCAATTCCTCAAGGCAATTGAACTAATGTGAGGGACTCTATTGGCATGTGTGTTTAAATCCATAACTTGTCGACATCTGTACAGTCATTGACAGCAAGTTCATTACAATTCCGTTAATGGAAAAATAAATAGGGAGAAAAAGTGTCGATGAACTAAATTTTCCAAAGAACTCGTCTTAACTCTCACTATTTAATAGGTATTAAAATATTTTTAATAGTTTCTTTAATTGGTTAAAACATCCTAAAGTATGTTATAGAGACACCAAGTCGATAGCATTGGAAGGATCATTAGATGAATGACTGACTGAAAAAGCAGCCAGTAGGTATTGAGGAGTAGTTTCTGACCTGCTCTTGTAGCCACAGTTCTTATATGACTGGTCCAGTTGAGTTTCCAGTTACTGGTAACCCCCCAGGATGTTGATACTGGGGCATACAGGAATGGTGATGCCATTGAATATCAAGGGACAGTGATTAGCTTGTCTGTTATTGGAGATGGTCATTGCCTGGCATTTGTGTGGCATGAGTGTTACTAGCCACTTGTCAGCCTGACCCTAGACATTGTTCATTCCTTGTTTCATTTGAACATGGACTGCTTCAATATCTAAGGAGTCACAAATGGTGCTGATCTTGTTCAATCATCAGCGAGTATCCCCAGTTCTGATGGAGGGAAGGTCATTGATGGAGTAGCTGAAGATATTTGCACCCCAGGACACTATCCTAAGGAACACCTGCAGTGATGTATAAGCACTGAGATGACTGACCAGCAACCATTACAACCATCTTCCTTTGTGTCAGTGATGTCTCCAACCAGCGGAAAGTTTTACTCCTGATTCCTATATAAGCATACTGTGAAATCTCACAACAGCCCTCAGAGGCTAGTTTTACTACAAAAATTTAATATATTGAAAGAAAGAAAATCAAGTAATAAATGGTAGCTGTTGTTACATTATTCATGTTGAGAGTTTCCAATTGTTCCTCATTTGTGTTTCTGTTTCTCTCCCAGTGGCTTTGCCCGAAACCACAATAGCTGGAATTGCCAGTGCTATAGCAGCAGCTTTGTTGGGTGCTGTATCCAGTTACATTGCCTACCAGAAGAAGCAATTATGTTTTAAAATGCAAGGTAAGTATAGTTGTCAATCTTACATAGAATTCGCAGCATAGAAAAGGGCCATAGAACTCAGCGGATCTATCTATGTGAGTCTCCTTCCACCCTATTTCACCTTGCCCTGTCAACGTATCACTGTTTCCTTCTCACGTACACGTTTTCGGCTTTCCCTTACTATGCTATTTATTGCAACCATTCCTTGTATAACAGGTTGCACGTTCTCACCACTCTCCATAAAGATATGTCTCTTGAATTTACATAATATTGGAGCGCAGAAGCAGAAGTTGTCCATTCAGCCCCTCAAGCCTGCTTCAACTTTCTAGAGCATGGTTGATTTCCTATACTATCCCTGTAGCCCTGAAATCATTAGATATCTAGAAGCTAGGGGGTTGGTTAGCTCATTTGCCTGGGTGACAGGTTTGCAATGCAGAGTGATGTCAACAGCCTGGGTTCAATTCCAGCAGAGGTCACTAGAGAAGGACTCTCCTTCTCAAACTCTCCCCTCACCTGAGGCATGGTGACCCTCAGGTTAAACCACCACCAGTCTCTGCTCTCCCTAATGACAGAGCAGCCCTAAGGTCTGGTAAGAACAAATTGCTGCAGAGGCTGGAATCTGTGCTGACAACAACAAATGCTGGAGATCGCAGCAGGTCAGACAGCATCCATGGAGAGAGCAAGCTAACGTTTCGAGTCTAGATGACTCTTCAAGACTGTGGTAACCTTACATCTGGAAACCTGTCAATCTCTACCTTGAACATATGCAAAGACTCAGCTTCCACAACCTTCTGGAGTACAGAATTCCAAAGGCTCACCACCCTCTGAGAGAAGAAGTTCGTCTTCAGCTCAATCTTAAATGGCCTGTTGTGAAATCATCTTGTATTTATGTCTCGAGCTGGTCTCACACTGCTACCTACTGGTTATAACTTGCATAGCAACTAGAACTCCTTAAACATGTAGATATGGATCCTTTGATGCACCAGCCATTTAAAATGTGGCAGAGTTCCCATGTTCAGTGTCCTGCACATGTGACAAACCAATATCCATCAGGTTGAATTTAATAGTAAATGGCCGACAGATTTTCAAGGGTACATCCATAGATTTAGCACATTACACCACAGGAGCCCCCAAGAACCCAGATTTTGTTTTATTAGAGACCAGCTTTTTATTTATAGTCACCAGCAAAACATGCCTTTTGCCAATTAAAAGAACAAGTTGTAAGCACAGGCCACCAGGAGCAATAGTGAACGAGAAGAATGAGTAGAGAAAGAGGGTGGGACTAAATCGAAATGGAATAGGAAGCGGAAATAATTTTTAGGACAGCAACCTGTGGAGAACAACTGAAATTGGTGCTGGGCCACAACGACTTGAATGAGGAATGTGAGTGTACCATCACTGGGTTTGCGGGTGATTCAAGAGTAGGTGGGAAAGCCAGTGGTGAGTCTGCAGAGGGATATCGATAGGTTCAATGAGTGGGCATAAACTTAGCAAATGGAACAGAAGGTATTGTCTCACAATAACGGGTCACACATTTAGAGATGAGGAGACATTTCTTCTGAGGATAATAAATCTGTGGAACTATTTACTGCAGAGAGCCACCGAGGCTGGGTCATGAAGTGTATTGAAGGCTGAGACAGATTTTTAATCTGTATGGGAATTGAGGGTTACAGGGAAAAGACAAAATGGAGTTACAGATTATCAGATTAGTCATGATCTCATTTGATTGTGGAGCAGACTTGATGGGCTGAATGGCCTATTTCTGTTCTTACATCTTATCATCTTATGATTTTATTGATTGACTGTTGCTGGAATTAGTGAAACAGGGTTGACAAATGAGGTTCAGCTTGAAATCTTGCTCTCTAAAATCTAATGGAGGAAGTAAATGGGGCCCACATCAAAAGGATTCCACCTGAAATACTAAAATGCTCATTCTCATTTCAATGTGGAATACCTTTAAGCATGTTCTGCATTTTCTATTTATATTGCTATTCTTGCAGTGTAGTAGCATGCCTTTAATTTTTTTTAAAGTACTCCCACTGTTGACCCTGCCCTTTTTTCGTCCTGATATTGGCTTATACTCACCTCATTGAAGTTATTTCTCCCTGCTTACGTTACATAGCCACAGAAGGTGAACGTGCAGAAAGTATTTTACTAAAATGTGGTCTTAAAAACAGGATGCATGTAAAGGGAATACAGAACTGCCCCATTGTCTTAATGTTTCATAACTTTGTTCTCCTCAGTTGAAATCATAAAACAGTATAAAGTGATCTAGTGTTAATCTCTGCTACACTTGATGAAGTCCAATTGTTGTCTAAGTTAGTGACATCGCAGAGCTCTGTGTTTAGACCTTAATCATGTAAGAAATGGAAGAAAAAGAATTTCCCAAGAATTTATTCTGACTGTACCTCCTATTAGTTCTTGGGATGAGGGTGAACTGCATTTAATGCCAATCATTGATTGCCCATGGGCATTGAGTCACGTGGGCTAGGCTGGTGTGAATTGGATGTACTCTCGAAGTGTATTAATAAGCTGTTCAAGAAAACAAAACTGCTTTGACAGTTTCTTTCTCCTCCTGGTGCTAGTGCAGATTTTATTGAATTCAAATCTCATGATGTGGCCATGCTGAAACTTGAACTTGCTAAGCCCAGAATGGGTAGTTTTGCTATAACGCTTGTGTTGTTAACACGAATTGTCTGTAACGCGTTTGATGAATAGTGGATGCTGTTTGGATAATGTGAACTTTCTGCTGTACAGGTATAGTGATTTTCTATAACGATCTCGATATAACGCAATTTTCTCTAGCACAACTATAGAAAGTCACACAAGAATGCATATATCGCATTATAGGAGAACTACCTGTACTTTAATCATTAACCTATCATAACATTCACATTAGAGACACAAGTGGGGAATCCATTATGACTGTCCAGCCAGGCAAATCTAGTCTGCTTCAACTTCCTAATGTCACTGTTAAAGATAACAAGGGCAAATAAAACCAAGGTAGGTTCATCAACAAAAATGTCAAAGACAGTAGACTTCAATGTGCTAGCATTTAAACCACCTGATGGCACTTTACTAATGCTGCAAATACAGTAAAGGCAGCTGTGTTTGAGGCTTAAAACAGCGGCGCAACCATGTCAGCACCTATGGCTTCTGCACACATTGCTTTCTGTTCCAAGGAAAGATTGAAGGCAGCAAACCGTGCAAAATGCAGCCTTGTAAAAAAATGGGTCATCTCTGGAATTCTCTGTATAATATGAATGAAATGGGCTCCAGAGCTCAAAGACCAATGCAAACAGATTTGCTTCTATCTGTAGAATATAAAGGGATCGTTAATCATTAACTTCCACTCGTGTAGATTTGATACAACAATTTAGGTTCTGTAACAAACATACAAACTAGCATTGTAACCGGAAAGCTCTCAAGCCCTTAATGGTACGATCTGTACCATTTAGTAGAAACTTTTGTGGAGCAAAGAATGGCATGGACTTTGATAAATTCACTTGTTATTAGAATTCACTTAGTGCTGACTTTGTTGCATGAGGGCAAGACATTATTTACTTGGACTTTACCAAAGCCTTTTAAGGTTCCAAATGGTAGACTAATTAGTAAAGTTAGATCAATGGGATTCAGGATGAGCTTGCCAATTGGATCCAAAATTGGCAATACGGTAGGAGATAAGATGGTGGTAGAGGGTTGTTTTTCAGACTGGAAGCCTGCAACCAGTGGTGTTCAACAGGGTTCGGTACTGGGTCCACTTTTGTTTGTCATTTATAAATGATTTGAGTTGAGAATATAGGAGGCATGGTTAGTAAGTTTGCTGATGTCACCAAAATTGTTGGTGGAGTGGACAGTAAAGAAGGTTATCTAAGATTACAAAGAGATCTTGAACAGTTGGGTCAATGGTCTGAGGAGTGCAGATGATGTTTAATTTGGATAAATGCGAGGTATTGCATTTTGGTAAAACAAACAAGCAGGATTAAGGCAATTAATGGTAGGGCTCTGGGCAGTGTTGTTGATCAGAGAGACCTAGAGGTTCAGGTAGATAATTCTTTCAAATTTGAGTCACAGGTAGACAGGTTGATTAGGAAGGTGTTTAGCACACTTGCCTTCATTGTTCAGACCTTTGAGTATAGGAGTTGGGATGTCATGTTGAGGTTGTACAAAAAGTTGGTGAGGCCTCTTCTGGAGTAAAATGTCCAGTTCTGGTTGCCCTGTTATAGAAAGGATATTATTAAATGAGGGTTCAGAAAAGATTTACCAGGATGTTGCCGGAAATGGAGGGTTTGAGTGATAAAAATAGGCTGGAAAGGCTGAGACTTTTTTCACTGGAGTGTACAAGGTTGAGGGATGACCTTACAGAGGTTTATAAAATTGTGAGGGCCATGGATAAGTTGAATAGCAAACATCTTTTCCATGGGGTGGGAGAGTTCAAAACTAGGGAGCATATTTTTAAGGTAAGAAGAGAAAGATTTAAAAAGGACACGAGGGGCAACATTTTACATAGAGTGGTTTGTATGTGGAATGAACTGCCAGAGGAAGTGGTGGATGCAAGTATAGTTACAATGTTTAAAATGTTTGGATAAGTACATGAATAGGAAATGTTTGGAGGAATATGGGCCAAATGCAGGCAGGTGGGACTAGCTTAGTTTACGAACATGGTCAACAGTTGGACCGAAGGGTCTGTTTCCATGCTGTATGACTCTAAGTGTTAGCTTTGTGTTCATTGTGAATTTGAAACCTGTCATATTCCCCTTCTGTTGCACCTTTAACTCCACAGGGAGTCTTAATCAACAATATGTAAAAGGAGAAAATGCTGAAGCAGGAGCAATGTCTGAGCCTCACGGTGAGTGTCTATCCTTCTGTAAATATCATTTATTTACTTATTAAACGCCTTCCCATCATTTGTTCTTTTATATAAAAAGCCAGCATCAAATAAATGTCTTTTTAACTTGTTTACTTCCTGAGAGCGGGCATGTTCTCTTTAAAAGAAATTAGCTGATTTTTGTTTTGGTTCCAGTTTTGTTTCTGTTTGCTCTCTGCACCATCCCCTACACCACACACACATCCTAAGGTTTTTGCCATTTTACTCATTGAAAGAATCAGTCCTTCATTAATTGAATTTATTTGAATGTTTCTTCCCTGAGCCCCTCAATGGGGAACCATGTCCGAGCCACAGCCCTGATTAAAATCTCGCTGGGTTTGATGAATGGGCTCCTTTCCACATTGTGCATAAATTGGAACAGCATCCTCAGGGTCTCCAAATTATTAGAGGCATGGGAGGAGGCCATTCGGCCCATCATGCCTGCCCTGGTTCTATTACCTAGTGCCAATCTCTGGTCTTTGCCCCACGTCCCTGCATCAATCCAAATAACTACGTGAATGCCTCAATTGAGCCTGTCCCCACCACACTTCCACGCAGGACATTCCATACCCTACCTCCTTGCTGTGTGAAAAAGACTTTTTTTTTCCTTCTTATGCACATCACTTTAAATCTATGCACTCTCATTCTTTAATGAGCAGGAGCTTCTTCTCTCTGAAGAGAGCAGTCTCAACTTCTTCCATCTGTCCTAGCCATGATGAGTTCCAGTACTACCATCCATGTTGGCAAACATCACCAAGACATTGTATGCTGCTGGTATTGACATATGAACAGTAATGTCCTCTTTTCAGTTATAATGAAATGTCTAATGCCAGCCTTAGAGTAGTCGGCAGGAAAATGCCAAGTATAAACATTTGTTCTAATACCCTAGAGCAGTATTCACATTGACTTCCTCTTTTCATTGGCCACTTGTGAATTGGACAGTGCCTCTTCCCCATTTCACAAGGTTCTGGTGAACAATTTACCAGGCAAGACACTGGCACAGGCACTTCTAACTAATTTGATGGGAATTTTTGAACAGCAACAAGTTTCAGATTTAGCATTTGTCATTTTCAGTCGAAACGACAGAAAGTACTACACCCAGGAGAAACAGATGTTATTTTTCATAGACCATAAACCTCAATAATTCCCTGATATTGGAACATGCGCTAACAATGAACATCACTCCAGTGAAATTGTATGCATGCTATTAAATTTCTAATGTCCCACTTCATTTAACATGTAACTAGATGGATAATACAACTATTATAATAAAATTACTGACTACTTACAGGGTTCATCTGAACACTGCTCATTCAGCCTATGAAGAGTCTCTCCATGTTTGTTGGAAGTTTCTCTCACCCTCCGATCACCTTCAGGTCCTGGAATCTATTCTGCATGCCCATCTTTTTATTTTCAAGCTCATGATCATCCATCTTTTCCGCTTTGCTGTTTTCTTCTCTTACAAGCTTTGACTGGTTTGACTTTCTTGTAACAGTATCTTGAGGTTGCCTCGATGAACCAGCCCCAGTCTTTACTTTGTAGATGTTGGTTTAGTGTGGTTTTTCCAGTTGACTCCCATTACTCTCTCACACACTGTCACGTTCCGCCAGCTGTGTCAATGATTGAAAATCGTGCTCCAACTACTATTTGTTAAGATGCAGTTTAATTATAAACAGGTCCAGCTTTGCTCATGTCCCAAGAATTTATTCCTCATGTGTCGAATCCTTGCCTTTTACCTTGATACTAAATTACTCAATTCCTTATCACAGTTAATTAGTTCAGCCGAGAGAACTGGTTATCAGAACTTCCCTGCACTTGAAACCCTAATTCAGCACCCGTTGTCTTTAATAAATTGAGTTTGGGGTGGGGTTATTGAATCCTTAAAGCTTTTTATGAATGTGCAGTTGGGTTTTAGAAGATTGCATCACAGGAGTAAGGTTTTGGTGTAAACCATTACAGGACTTCCTCGGGATACACTAGGTGCTGAGAGACAACATGTTTCTCGTAACTAGCAGACATAGGCAAACCCTGGGTGACTGTTAGGATGTCAATGAGACATATACTGCCATTTTACTAAGATTCTCCTCCATTAAGTTGAGGCTGCCCCCTGCAGACAACATCATTCGGACCTATAAAATAAGTACAGACAAATACTTGATGCCATAGCAGCAGTTTGAGAAAATTTAAAAATGAAATAACTCTAAGAATCAGTGTTGACGTGTCAAGGCGAATAATTATACACAGGACTGGCACAAAGAACGTTTTTAGTTGCAGAAGGAAACTGGGTTCTCTACTTTGTTTGAATGTAATAATGCAAAGTAAGGGCTGGGGGAAGAGATTCAGAGAGATTTACTCATTTGAAGAGAGGTGAGTTGACTCGGGATAAATGAGCAGCATTGTACAGCTATAAATAGAGAACCGGAAGCACTAGGCTGACTAGTTGGTGGAGGAACCTCAATGGCACCAGTCCGTGTTCAGGTAGCATTCTCTGACCTTCGTGAACCTTTCCAATATTGTTTGGTGAGATTGCCATGACCCAGCGTAAACAGACTATCAGCAGCAATTCCTATGTTCAGCTCAAGGAATGAAGAAAAAGGCAGAGGCTCTTCCAGAGCAGTCTGTTCCAGACAAAAACAAATTGCTGGAGAAACTCAACAGGTCAGGCAGCATCTGTAGAGAGAAAGCAGAGTTAATGTTTCAAGTTCAGTGACCCTTCTTCAGAACTCTGTGTACCTGAACTGTTAACTCTGCTTTCTTCCACAGGTGCTGCCATACCTGCTGAGTTTCTCCAGCAATTTCTGTTCTGGTTTCTGATTTCCAGCATCTGCAGTTCTGGGTTTTTTTTTGTTAAATGTTTTTTGTTAAACGTCTGCCAGAGATCTGGATTGAATATATTATAGGCTCTGACAGTGAGCGTCTGCTGACTTTATTTCTATCTTGGGTTTTCTTCGGTGACCTTGGTAAAAGTACACTGCCTGCCCATGCTGTTTCAAATAATCTCTGTCTCTGTGTGTTTTCTTCCTAACATCTATGGCGGTGGTTTGTTTGAATCTTCCTGCAGCTGAACGGAGCCCCCTGCAAGCACAGTCAGAGAAGCCTCCTGCACACAACATCCATCAGGTCTAGATTGGGCACTGAACATCACAGCCTTTGCCTTGACACCAACTTCAGCTTAAACTGGCTTTAATTTTATTTCAGACAAAACAGTTATATAATGGAGGGTGATTCTTTAGAACTTTAGACTGACCCTTTTTAAGTGTGTGTTCAATTCAGTATGGTGCAATTGTTAGAATAGGTCAGCTGATTGGCTCAACGTTTGGCTTAATCCTACAAGCAAGTAATGGATGAAGTCAAAGTATTTGCCTTGGATGTGAGTCATTCACTGAAAGTTGTTACTTGGGCAAAGCATGTGGTTCAGAGATTCTTTTCATGGTGCTTAAAGAAAAAAAATGAAGTTTAATATTTGAAGTGTTTGAGTAGGGGGTGGGTGTAGTTGGATCGGTTTGGTACCATTCTGGTGAATAGCCTTGGCTAGTTCTGTCTATACCAAAGATGGTTGTAGAGTGAAGAATGCATTATGTTTGGTTCAGACAGCAGTGTGTCCTTGCCCATTTCCTCCATATAAAAGTACAAATGAGACTGTTTCTTTATAAAAACATAACATAGTTGAATAACTGCAACTGAGCAAAACCATGCTTTTCTCCTTTAATTGATGTAGTGCTGTCAGATATTCTGGAGAAAGCAGTTAGAACATAAACATGATGTTGGGACATTAAAAACCGAGTCTGTGGAAGACTTAAATACAGTATTCCTACTTTTAACACGCAAATATTGTCATCATGTCAAATATTCAAATCAGTCCATCCTGTTCATTGGTAACAAAACTTTACAAATTGTGTTGTTGGGGATTGTGAAAGGATGGGCAGAGGATCTGAAAATTACATATTATTGTGTTGGATACAAGGTTTGTGTTAGCTAATGTTATTTAATTGCCTACCAGTAATCTCCGCCTGTAATATTGCTTCAAATTTTACCCAGTGAAGGCATTTTTCGAAGAGGCTGTTGTCTTGTGTAATTTTATTTTAAGATTGCAATCAGCATCTAACTCCACAAGTCTCTGCTACTGGTTAGACACCTTGCCTTGATCAGTGCCTGCAGCTGTCTTCCACAGTTAAGGCCGTAAACAAACACAGGAGGAACACAGCAAAACTATTTAACATGTCCTGCGGCATCTCATCTGTGTCCCTTGTGCTTTGGATGCAGAAAAGTCTTTATTAAAAATTTGTTTCTGGTGCACTCACTTCTCGTTGTGATACTTCAGCATATCTTTAGATTCCTTTTCATCAATATCATTTATTACCTTCAGCAAGAGAAACAGCCCAATACTGGTCCATGGTTAGAAATGTACATGTTGTTCCAACTGCACTTCAACGTTAGCAGTTACAATGACCTGATATCTCGACATAGACCAGGCTGGCAGCTGTGCTGCAAAGGCTGACTACCCATGGGCAACGCAAGGGCAATGGCCCCAATTATACAGCAAGTCCAGAAGTAGTTACACTAGACTCAAAATATTAACTCTGTTTCTCTACCCACACCTGCTGCCAGGTCTGCTGAGTCTCTCCAACATTCTCGGTGTTTGTTTCAGTTTTCCAGCCTCTGCAGTTTTTTTTTTTTGCAATTTTGCAGTAAGTTTGATGGCTTGCATCATAAAAATAATGATTTTACTTTTAGAAGGTGACTTTTTGTTTCTATATCCTTTAGCTTTGAAAATGGCCTTTCTGAAAAAAATAGCCTTCTCTATAAAATCTTAGCTTCCCACTAATAAAGAATGGAAAATCAATCTTGCAGCTGTTGCATGGACGACATCTGTTTCAGATACTCCAGTTGGAATATGGGAACGTGTAAGAACTTGCCTATTACACTTACTGTTAGGCTTGAGCAGTCTGTGGGACTGGCAGCAATAAGCATTTACAGGAATGATGTTAGTGTAGCATCTGTAAACACTCTCTGTCACATTGCTATCTCATTTGCAGCACTGTATAATACTGTCACTAGCACATACAGCAAACAGAGAGAAAGTATCTTAGTGTGGACTGAATGTCAAGTGTGCAAACTTCTCAAGATCTGACACCACTGCAAGCAGAGTAACACTTCAGCGTCATTGGCCATCTGGGTGCCATATTTAAACAGTGCCTACAAAAATACTGTGTGCAATCTTTGCTCTTGTTTGTGTGAGGTTGAACTTGCCCATTTCAACAAGGCAGCAGCTGTTTTCAATTTGAGAATGACAGCAGCCTGTCATAGTACAATGTTTCAGTCAATTCTGAGAAAAATGGCTTTTAATCTCCCACTCATCTCTGTCACTGCCTGAGCCTTACTCACTGGGAATACATCCAGGAAAGCAGCCAAATTGTTATTTGCCAAATGTAAGTTAGTGCCTAAAATCTGGAGAGATATGTAACAAATGCCAGTTGCCCAGTGCTTAGATGAACTTTGTGGGAATAGGACCGAAGGGTCTGTTTCCAAACTGTATAACTCTATAGTTAATCAGTCACTGTCACATTAGGAAACCACTTGTATTAATGTCGCTTCACATCTTCAGTCTGTGCCCAGGTTTAGTCGCTCCATTTTCCAATCATCTACCCCCTTCCTGTGGTTTCCAGTTCCGCACTCTGATAGCAATTACGCATTCGTATGTTTTGTCTTTAACAGTGAGTGGAAGGAGACTTGTCTCTCAAAAGTCTAAATTTACAGCTAAGCCAATCGTCAGGAACGAAAACAGATTCACCCTAACCCTGTTCCTCACCTAGGGGCAATGAGACAAACTGCTGTAACAGTGCTGTCATAAATGTCTGTAGAAATTACAATGGGGGAGGCTCTTGATGCCAATTCAGCAGGTTCACCAAAACCACCGAGTAAATACAAAAGACCAGGGACTGTGTACTATAATTTTCAGCCAAATCAAAAGATCCAGAAGATGCCAATGATTAACCAAACCAATGAATTTTTAACTGATTGATTAAGTGGCAACTGAAAATGGTGCTGTTATCTCTCATTGTGAAGCCACTTCTGCTCAGACAGGCTACTATCAATGTTCTGAAAGATTTGAGATCCAATTCTCCATGGGGCTGTTCCCCCAATAATTGGCCACCTTCACAGCAGTCAGTAACTTGTTGCTGAGATCCGGGGGAATGTACAGAGAAACAGGAATATTTTGCAGAGCTGAACGAAGTTTGAGTTGATCACTTAATTCAGACCAGAATTACAAAATTTAAAAGGCATCCAGATAGGTAAATGAGTAGGAAGTGTTTAGAGGGAGATTGCCCAAATGCTGGCAAATGGGACTAGATCAGTTTAAGATACCTGGTAAGCATTGATGAGTCATAGAGTCATACAGGTTGGAAACAAGTCCTTTGGCCCAAACTGGTCCATACTGACCATTCATTGTGCCCTCTCAGCTAGTTCCAGTTGCCCGCAATTGGTCCATATCCCCCCAAACCCTTCCCATCCATGTACTTATCCAAATGTTTTTTTTAAATGTTGCTATTGTTGCCTCAATCACTTTCTCAGGCAGCCCATTCCAAATACGCACCACTCTCTACACGAAGAAGTTGCCCTTCAGGTCCTTCTTAAATCTCTCACCTTAAACCTATGCCCTCTAGTTTTCAATTCCCTGTCCCTGGGAAAAAAAAGACTATATGCATACATCCTATCTATGCCCCTCATGATTTTATACACCTCAAAAAGATCAGCCCTCATTCTCCTACATTCCAAGGAATGAACTCCTACCCTGGCCAACCTCTCCCTATAACTCAGGCCTACTAGTCCTGGCAACATCATAAATCTTCTTCACACACTTTCCAGTTTAACTATGCTTTTCCTATAACAGGGTGACAAAACTGTATATAATACTCCAAGTGCAGCCTCACCAATGACTGATACAACTGTAACACAACGTCCCAACTCCTATACTCAACGCCTCAACCAATGAAGGCCAGCTTGCTAAATACCTTCTTCACCACCCTATCCACCTGTGACGCTGCTTTCAACAAACAATGTACTTGTACTCCTAGGTCCCTCTGTTCAACAACACTCCTCAGGACCTTACCTTTACTGTACAAATCCTACCTTGATTTGACTTTCCAAAGTGCAACACCTGACACTTGTCTGTATTGAATTGCATTTACCAATCTTCAGCCCACTTCCCCATCTGATCAAGATCCCTCTGTAATTTTTTGATAACCTTCTTCGTTATCAACGAAAGCTCCTAATCTTGTATCATCCGCAAACTTAGTAATCATGCCTTGTACATTCACATCCAGATCATTTATGTAAATAACAAATAACAAAGGTCCCAGCACCGACCCTGTGACACACCTCTAGTCATGGGCCCTCAGTCCGAGAAACAACCTTCAACCATCACCCTCTGCTTCCTACCATTGAGCCAGTTTTGAATCCAATTAGCTAGCTCTCCCTGGATCCCATGTGACCGAACCTTCATAACTAGCCTGCCGTGTGGGACCTTGTCAAAGGCCTTACTAAAGTCCATATAGACAACATCCACTGCCCTACCCTCATCTATCCTCTTGACTACTTCTTCAAAAACTGTAAAAGATTTGTCAGACGTGACTTCCCATGCACAAATCTATGCTGACTATCCCTAATCAGACCTTGACTCTCCAAATGTTGGTTAATCCTGTCCCTCAGTATCCTCTCCAATAACTTGTCTACCACTGATGTCAGGTTCACTGGCTTGTCTTTGCTACCTTCTTAAACAATGGAACAACATTAGCCACTCTCCAGTCTTCCGGAACTTCACCAGTGGCTAAAGATGAAGCAAAAATCTCTGCAAGGACCTCTGCAATTTCTTCCCTAGCCTCCCACAACATCCAAGGATGAACTTGATCTATCCACCTTAATGCACTTTAAGACTGCAAACACCTCCTCTCTGGTAATGTGTATGCAGTCCAAAACATCCCCACTTGTTTCCCTTATTTCCTTAGTATCAATGATTCTCTCCTCAGTAAACAGGGAGGAGAAATATTCATTAAAAATCTCCCATCTCCTGTGGCCCCACATAGGTGGCTATGCTGATCTTTAAGGGGACCTAGTCTCTCCCTAGCCACCCTTTTAACCTTATCTGCCAGATCCATCTCATACCCTCTTTTTGCTCTTCTGATTTCCCTCAAGTGCACTCCTACATTTTTTAGACATCTAAGGATTCACTTGAGCCCAATAGCTTAAATCCAATGTATGCCCTCTTTTTCCTGATCAAAGCCTCAATATCCCTTGTCAGCCAGAGATCCCTAAACCTTTCAGCTTTACCCTAACAGGGACATACTGTCCCCATACTCTTGATATCACACTTTTAAAAGCCTCCCATTTGCTAGTCATTCCTTTTCCTTCAAACAGACTCACCAATCGACCTCTGCTAGATCCTGCCTGATGGCCCCAAAATTGGCCCTGCTCCAGTTCAGCACCTTAACCTGTGGACCTGTCCTATCTTTTCCCATAACTATGTTAAAACTAAGAGAGTTGTGGTCACTGGACCCAAAGTGCTCTCTGACTGACACTTCATTCACTTGCCTGACCTCGTTTCGTAAGAGGAGGTCCAATGTTGTGCCGTCCAGAGTAGGATCCTCTACATATTGATTTAGGAAACTTTGATACATTTGACAAATTCCATCCCATCCGGGCCTTTTACACTCTGGGTGACCCAGTCAATACAGGGGAAATTGAGTTGGACTGAAGGGCCTGTTTCCACGCTGTACCAATCTTTGTGATTTGATCAAGTGTGTTTCTGAACATGTGTGCCCACGTCAACAGGGATAGTTCTGTATATGGAACTTTAATAGGCTGACTATAATTAATCATAAAATGCAAGAAACTATTGAGAAAATTTGCAATAATACATACATGGACATGTCTTTAACGTGCATAACAAATATATAAGAAATGTTCTTAGTTTTTGTTCACTGATAAGCAAGTCAGAAGTTCTGCTTGGGAAAGATGCTACACCATACACATGATTGACAATCCATTCATAGGGGTCACACCTCCAGGGATGCCCCACTCCTCTGTCTTCCACCACCCTCTCACGTCAGCGAGACTTTGTCTGCAACTGCTCTGACGTTCAGCATCAAGCATTTCTAAAAAAATGCTTCTGTGGATTTGCCAATTCTATTTTTATTTTGGGTGTAACTTAATGAAATTGTAGATTTAGGCACAACTTGATATCAGGCAGATAGGCCCAAATTCAGGTGCAACTTTTAAGTTGCGTCCAAAGAAGAAACACCAAAAATGACAATCCTCCGCCTGTGTACTTCCCCAGCTCCCTTGCAGGACACTGATTTTCATCACTCCCCTGTTGACAGCCATGCTTTGAACTGTCTGGATCCTAATCTCCTCGTTTTCCCTACCTAAACCTCTCCAGTTACATCAGGAACAAAAACAGAAGTTGCTGGAAAAGCTCAGCAGGTCTGGCAGCACCTGTGAAGAAAAAAAAAATCAGAGTTCACGTTTCGGGTCCAGTGACCTTTCCTCAGAACTCTCCATTTACATCCTCTTTTATGACACTCCTTAAAACTTGCCTTTTGCCATTTTGGTTACCTGTCCTTACAAATTCTCCTGTGAAGTGTCCCGCATAAAGGAAACCAAGAAATGTGAGTTGATATTGTGTACAAAATACAAGACTTGACTAAGGAAAGTGCAAACCAAATCTCAAAAATGAGTATAACACTGAGCACTGGGGTCTCTTGAAGGCATCTCACAGGTGGAACAGTGTGTGTGTTTGTTCCCCAGTACAAAGACTGACCACAAGGTTATAACCAGACAGTATGAGACCTGGATTGCAAGTAAATAGACTGAAAGGAAAAACATGGTGCTTGGCCCATGTTTGATTCGAAGTTTATTCCACAGATTTTTCTTCCTTGACGTGGCTTTTAAATATCAAAAGAAAACAGCAACTTTCAATAAAATGCCCATGTTACATGGTTAGTGTTTCCTTTTAAATGTTGACTTGTTTCGATTGTAGTTTCTAGTAGTTACAGTCATGCCATAAATCTGTTAGTTAACTTATACAAGAATGAGAAATAATCCTCAATCGGAAATACGTCAGCAGCAAAGCAAAGCTAAACCAATTGGTGTGGAACATTTATGCAGTGTCAGCTCATGAATGAAGCTATAATTGAACCCTTAGAATTTATTTGTTATTTTCATGTGTATAATTGGGTGAGTTTTAATGAAATTGGTCAAAAGCAAAGATTGGCTAGAGTCAAAAATGATGTGTTGTGATGCACAAAGGTACAACTTTCCAAAAATGCAATAAAATATAACACTGGGTAAAGCAAATGCAGCAAGAGTTTTGAATGAATGGGTAATCAACTATTAAATGCACAACCACGAGTAAAAGAAGCACTGCACAAATATTCCCAAGGCTTTTGTGTGATGTTGTTTTCTGTAAGCTAATGTTAATAAACCAGTTCCAGATTTGATCTTTCTAATAAATGATGACATCTTGGTTAGAATACAGCTGTCTCATAATTCCAGAGGAGGTGTGACATAATAAACCATGTTCAGCATCAAAATCGATTAAACTTTGTAATTCAGTGACTCAATAATTGAACTGTAACCAAATTGAAAGCTCTGAATAAACCTGTACATTAACTCAGCTTCCACTTGGTCTTCATTACAAACTAGCAGAGAGACCCACAAAACTTCCACAGACAAACAAGTATCTTTATTGTAACATTACTTCTTTAAATACAGGATTTCTACTTTTTCACAGAATCAGAAGTGTTGTCTCTGAGGAAAAAATAACTACACAAAGCTGTGCCAATGTGAAAAAAAACCAACTGAGGGATATAAAACACATGTTTTCGTCTAAGGTCTGCCTGTGTCCCATCACTACAGGTGAAAGCAGAATTGGGAATGTTTTCTCCCAAGTTGAAAAGGCAGGTTTTCATCCGAGGAGCTCAGTATCTTTCTAAGAAAACCCTGTTATTTCCTTGAAGTCTACCTGTTATAAATACAACCTCAACCATCACAAAAAAAGCTTAACTACCGATCTTATTCCCTGACAAAGTCCTTGTTCAGGATTCAGGTTTTGTTGTGACACTGTAGTCGATCCATCTTCAGGTCAATGTTTGTGTGGTGGCAAACGCATTGAAGTTAGTCCTGACTGTAGAGTTTCTATACTGTCATCATAATCTTCATCTATTGAATTAAAGCCAATGCATTCTTTTAATTCAGCTGACAGTTTATTCCAAAAACATTTCATTCAAATGAAGTGAATTTAATTCTTGCCACAATTTAACAGTTTTTTTAATAATAAGCTGAACCAAATAATCAATCACGCTGCCATTTTGTTGTACTTAAACATTTCTATCATCTCACCCATGCTATTCCATCAATCACATCCCTCCCTTGTGGAAGTGGTCTCCATCCACTGTTTCCCACTAACCCCTCACTGTCACCATCAGACTTTGCCAACCTCATTTTGCACCATGCCCTGCAGTCGTCTATGGGCACTGCATGTGCCAGACATATCCACCAAATAAACCATTTGACAGACAGGTCCCTTAAACTGATAAAACTATGGTGTTGACAGATTTTTTTAAAAAAAACTTAATAAAGATGGTGACAACAAGGTGCAGGGCTGGATGAACACAGCAGGCCAAGCAGCATCATAGGAGCAGAGAGGCTGACGTTTCGGGCCTAGACCCTTCATCAGAATAAAGATGGTGTTTTTTTTCATTAAATGGTTAATTTTGCTCCTATTTTAAGGGTGTGATATCACTTCTGAAGCTACAAATTAAACTGTTCACTATTGAGTGCCAATAAGTCAGTGTTCAGATAATAATTAATGAAACTTGCCTTTTTATAGCATCTTTCACATCTTTGCAATGTTTCAAAGCACTTTACAGCCAATGAAATAAATTTGAAGAGTAGTCACTGTCACAGTATAGTCAAAGAGCCAGTGCGCACCTAGCAAGCTCCTACAAACAACGATGAGTCTGTTTCAGTGATGCACATTGAGTCATTAACATTGGCCAGGACACTGGAGCAAACTCTCTTGTTCTTCAGAAAGTACCATGGAATATTTTGCAATGACCTGAGAGGGCAGATGGGGCCTCACAGCATATATTAAAATGTAATGCATTAGGCAAACACTTTCTATGTACATGCCAAATACTCACCGAAGTAAAATGCTTTTGCTTGTAAATTAATACAGGATGTGTTGTAGTTTAAAGAATTGCTTATCTGCTTCAGAAATTTGTACATTGGTAGCAACATTGGCAGTGGGATTGCTAGAGCTCTTTGACAGAAAACACAGACAGTAGAAGATGAAAAAGCCATACCGCTACAGAAAATTCAAAATTAACACTTGGAATTGCTACAGAACATGATGAGGCTTTACTATTCCAGACTGGCAGCCACTTACAGTATTTGCTAATCTGAGGGCAATCCAGACATGGGCCACTATTAAATTATGTTCAGTGTTAAGTTTCTAGGTCCAGGTAAAACTTAAAATGATCAGTTTTCAATACTTAAAACATGCATGCTCCCACCAAAAATCCAACTGAAATTCAGCTTTGGCCTATTCAAAGCCAAACCTCAGATTTTCATCCCAAATACATTAACACCACAAAGACATGGACAGAAGTTGAACCCTTTGGCTTTTTTAGGTAACACTAGTAAAGGCCATTTGGGTCAATGGTTAAAACATGCAATGCCTCAGTGTTTTTTTAAAACCAAAACTACTTTTTAAGTACTGAAAAAAACGGTAGAAATGCTGTAGAAAAGTCATGAAAATAATGCATGTAATGACTGAAACCTGCATTTTTGTAAAAGTAGAAGGGACACATCTGTGAAATGTTGTTTGATTTGATGAATAATTGGAATGAGAAAAGCATAACGTCATACTTTTAATCTGGTGCTCAAATTCTGCAAAGATACAAAGGACACTTTCCTCTTTGTACAAATGAAAGGCAGTCCTGGTTTCAGGAAATTTGCAGCTTCTCTTATGATTTTTGCAAAGCTTGTTTTGTAAAATTTTTGTTCTCTTCACTCTTGGAAATAATTTGAGCTGTCTGCTATACTACAGCACTCCTGGCACAAACAGGCGGCATGTTTTGATGGAAGGATTCCCCCTCGGCATGGAAACATGCATCACCTCTTCCCCTGACACAGAAAATGCCCCCACACTTGAAAGGGAGATGAAGTTGTGAGGAAAAAGTTTACTAACTATGTTATGTTCTAGGCGCAATGACATTTCAGTTTGGTGCATCTTATGGATGAGAATATTGCTGCTAAGTTTGTCGAACACTAAATCTTAAAAATCTATAAATACACAGCTTCCCAAGGCTTCAGAAACCCACAAGGGAAGCTTCTGCAAAGTGTTTACATTCATTTGCAATGATAAATTTAGTGATGGGGGTACAGCCATTTACATGCACTACATAAAAATATACATATTCTATTAATGAGAAGAAGTTAAAATAGCAATAGTGAAGTTGTCTACAAAAGAAAAGACAACAATCGAACTGTTTTCTCTGAATTATGATAGGATATCCACCTACCAACCCCAAATCACAGGTTCGAGTTGATTATGGCCAATAAAGTGGTTTGCATTGTGGGAGGGACAGAGGTGAAAGTTGAGTCATTTGAGCAGACTACAAAGGAAACTTGGCACTCTGGTCCTTTGCCTGGGCTGATCCATCAGACACATCTGCCTTTGCCTCCAAACCCTCCTCCCCAGACCTTTCTGGCTAATTCATGGATTGGCACTAAAGTTTAGGCCAGTTTCACAGTGGCACTCACATTTATCCTTCCACCGTAGGTCTCAACATCAGAATAAAGCAGTTGCGCAACAGAGATATCCCCACATGGGTTTACAAAAACCCAAAGTACACTGCAAAATATTGCACACTCATGCACATGTACATACAGAATCAACCGTATTTACAGCTCTCATATACATGTTGCAGTCGTAACTTCAGTGATTCAGTTACCAGCAAAGAAGCATGGTAGGGAGGATGGTTGGTGGATTCACACTGTTGTCTGTACAGGTGACACTGAATGTGTGGGCGAAGCTCTTTCAGAGGAAGATGACACTGCCATGTTGCTGACCTCACGCTGAAGCTCCTCTACCTTCTTCTGCAGCTCGGCCCGGACACCGAGAAGCTCCTTGTAAGTCTGGTGGATCGGCAACTGTCACAGAAAAGCACAAGGAGACTGTCACCCAAATGCACTTGGTTGTTGCTTTGCAAAAGCTCAAGAGTCGTGCTGGCTCACCGCAACAGGCCTTGCATTTTAAAAATCGAGCGCAAGTCGCTAGTAACATCGGAGAGGCAAATGACCGATGGAGATTTCCAAGAGGTGGGGAGGGTGATTGTGGTCATTTGTTCTGATCAGAGAAACAATTCTGAACAACTGAGTGGAAGCATCGGGAAATGTGGTTTGAAGATTAACTGATAAAGCCTGAACACATTATTTTAAATTGGCATTTTTCCAATAGGTAAGTCAGTTGAGGAGAATAGGGCTCGAAACTGAAAAGAGATGCACCGAACAATCATGTGGAGACTAAATGATTTCAGTTCAAACGCACCAATGGAACAATAATGCGATGTTCATTATTTACGGGACGCAGGGGTGCTGATGAAAGCAGCACAGGCGATTATATCATCTCAAAAAGGCTGCTGCATGAAGTCTAAAAATCTATTGCTGATAAATCTATCCTGACAAACCCTATCAAAAGTGCCACAATTCTAGTTAATCACACAGGAGGTTATTCTGATTAGCTCCACTCCCCTGTTTTCTCCTCACAGCCCTGCACCTTTCTTTCCTGCAAGTATATATCCAGTTCCAAATAACCGAGGATGCTGGCAATCAGAAATTGCTGGAAAAACTCAGCAGGTCTGGCAGCATCTGCGGAGAGAAAGCAGAATGAACATTTCAGGTCCAGTGACCCTTCCTCAGAACAGCGGACGATGTTCTGAGGATGGGTCACTGGACCTGAAACATTAACTCCGCTTTCTCCCCACAGATGCTGCCAGACCTGCTGAGATTTTCCAGCAATTTCTGATTTTGTATACTCAGTGCCCTTTCAAACAGCACAAATCAATCTGCTGCCACCACATTTTCAGGCAGTGAATTCCAGATAAATAACAACTCGAGTGTGGAAGAAATTCAGCCAGCCTAAAACATTGTGCTCACTCCAACCCCATTACTCAAGACCTATCTTTTTATGAAGTTGTTCCTGTCAAATAAAATTTGAAATTGTTAAACTCAGCATATTTGGACCTTATATGTTCACTCTTCTGATTTATGTTTGGCTGATCTTTGGCTATTAATGTACAGGAAGCATATTTACGCACAGTCCACATCTTGGGATTTGGACATCACTTGCTAGTCCAGCATATATTGCCCATCCCTAACTGCCCTCAAGAAGGTGATGATGAGCTACCTGCTTGTATTGCTGCAGTCACTGGGGACACTCACAGTGTGTTAGAAACAGACTCCCAGAAATATGACCCTGTGACACTGAAGGAACAGCAATACGGTTACAAGTCAGGATGGTTTGAGACTAGGAGGGGAATCTGCAGGTGGTGATGTTACCATTCTTCAACAGCTAGACAATGTATAAACAAACCTGAAGAAGTGCGGACGCTGTAAATCAGGAACAAGAACAGAAGTTGCTGGAAAAGCTCAGCAGGTCTGGCAGCATCTGTGAAGAAAAAATTCAAGAGGTAACGTTTCAGGTCCAGTGACCCTTCCTCAGAACAGAGTTGGGTCACTGGACCCAAAATGTTAACCCTGATGTTTTCTTCACAGATGCTGCCAGACCTGCTGAGCTTTTCCAGCAACTTTGTTTTTGTTATAAACAAACCTGGTCAGGTCTGGAGAAACCACATTATTCATCCTGCATTGTAGGGAAGATGGTGGACAGTAACCTTCACTGTAGATGCTTCCTGAGCATCTCTTGATAGGTATAAGAGACAGTCAAACATTCACTTCTCCGAGTACCCCAGAACCCAACAAAAGTTCAGCTGTAGGGTGTTGCCGAGTGCCTGGATCAATTACAAAACCACCATCACTTACTGGAAAGGAACAGAATTTAGTAAGTGGCTTCAGAATGTATTCCCCAAATCCATAACCCAGGTGGATCAGATAGGAGGAATTGTTTACTAAGAGGTGCCAATCATTTAAAACTGATGAAACCAGATGTACAAATGCAGGCCAGCGCATGACCTGCAAGTTGAAAAGTTTTCAAGTATAATTTCCACCAAATTTCTGCTCCATTGCAACAACTGCAGAAATTTCCCATGGAGTTGTACGGGGTAAATGGTGGTGATGGACGGGCTGGGTTGAGGGAGACAGAGAAGGGAATACACTGTTCCTTCCTCCATTGCCAATTCATGTGCAATCTGAAGGTGGCACTGGCAAATTTCCATACATCTCACTCAGCAATTCCAGGTCACAGCAAGCAGCAGGACAGTCCATCCTTCCTGGACCGGTCATTTTGCTGCCCACTGGACATAAACAAAAGGTGCCAGAGAAACTCCGCAGATCTGGCAGCGTCTGTGAGAAAGGAAAGGAGTTCACGTACCAAGTCCACTTCTTCAGAATTCCCTTCACACAGACATGAAAACACCCTACACCACTTGCCAGAAAAGGTGGTCCCTGCTCCTGTTTCAATCTGCACTATTTCAGTGGCCTCCTGGGGTGTACATAGTTAAAGAGGCTGGAGATTCTGAACCTAGATATTCTGACTCCAGATCAGATTTCCAAAGAAGAGTTCTCATGGACCTGAAACTTTAACTCTGTTTTTCCTCTCTCTACAGATTGCTGCCAGAGTTTCATCAGCACTTTGTTGTTATTGCAGGTCTCCAGTCTCCATTTTTATATTATTGCTCCCTAGGTTAGTTCATCATAGATCATAGAAAGCTAATCATAGAATCCCTACAATGTGGAAACAGGCCCTTCGGCCCAACAAGTCCACACCGAACTACAGAGCATCCCACCCAGACCCATCCCCCTGCAACCCACCTAATCTACACCTCCCTGAACACTACAGGTAATTTAGCATGGCGAATCCACCCAGCCTGCACATCTTTGGACTGTGGGAGGAAACCAGAGCACCCGGAGGAAACCTATGCAGACACGGGGAGAATGTGCAAACTCCACGCAGACAGTCGCCGGAGGCTGGAATTGAACCCGGGTGTCTGGCGCTCCAGCTTGCCCACACCACACCCCTCCTCCCTCCAACACTTCCCTAAACTAACAGAAGTTGGCATGTTGGCTGTTCTGAAACCTTTCCACTCACACTGCCCCTGCAGCAGACACTTAACCTCTTCCCCAATATGATAATCACTAGCACCCCCCACCCCCGCACAAGACATGGAGCAAGGTCAGGACCAGATCAAAGTAAAATTATCTACCTACCTACATATGGATGCCATAAGCTTTCAGTGATGATACTATAGGAACATGGTGGTGGAAGTGTTTCAAATCTTGAGTGAAACCTGTCATCCAGGTCCTTCACAAAGTCTCTACAACAATGTCTAACAAATCAATGCAACCTGTTACTAGTTGCGAAGATGCAATATAATAGCAGCCTCTTCTAGTTAGACCAGGAAGTGGTTTTCGTCTAACACACCAGACCAACTGGGCCCTGCAGATCCCTACACTTAAAGAGGATAGTGGCAGCAAACTTACCATGGTTTAACAGCAACTACAAGGTGGTGCATTTCATTTGGTTGCCTCATATAACACTTCTAACTCCATACAATTCTGATGAGTACCACACTAAATCTCACCTCGATCATGAATTCCTTTTAAAATTAGCATACGTCTCAGATAAATCACCTCTAACATCTCAGACATTTTACAAGACAAGGGGCCTTGCTTTTATTGGGCAAGAGGTGTGATCACTAAGCTACTAATCGAGATACCCAGCTCATGTGCTGGAGACCCAGGTTCAAATCCTGCCATGGCAGAAGGTGGAATTTAAATTCGATGAAAGTCTGGAATGAAAAGTTTAATGATAACCATGAATCCATTGTTGATTGTCAGGAAAAACCCATCTGGTTCAATAATGCTCATGACCAGCATGACTATGATCATCACCAATAAGAGACAATCTAACTGCCATCTTTTGACATTCAACGGTGTTACTAACAATGAATCCCCCACTTACAACATCCTGAGGGTTACCACTGACCAGAAACTCAACTGGGCTCATCACATAAACACAAGCTACAAGAACAGGTCAGAGGCTAGGAATACAGTAGCAAGTAACTCACCGACCTCCTCAAAACCTGTCAACCATCTACAAGGCACAAGTCAGGAGTGTGATGGAATACTCCCCATTTACCTGGATGGGTGCAGCTCCAACAACACTCAAGAAGCTTGACACCATCCAGGACAAAGCAGTTCAGTTGACTGGCACTAGATTCGTAAGCATCCACTCCCTCCACCAGCAATGCTCAGTACACACTGCAAAAATCCTCAGACAGCCTTGGACATCCTTCCAAACCCACAACCACTTCAATCTAGAAGGCAAGGGCAGCAGATACATGGGAACACCACCACCCGCAAGTTGCCCTCTAAGCCAATCACCATCCTGACTTGGAATTATATTGCGATTCTTTCACTGTGGCTGGGTCAATATTCTGGAATTCTCTCCCTAATGGCATTGTGGGTCAGCCCACAGCAGGTGGTTTACAGCAATTCATGAAGATAGCTCACCACCACTTTCTCAAGGGGGCAACTAGGGACAACAATAAATGCTGGCTCAGTCAGTGAAGCCCAAAAAAAATGAGTCTTTAAAAAAATGTCCTTTAGGGAAGGAAACTGCCATCCTTACCTGGTCTGGCCTACATGTGACTCCAGACCCACAGCAATGTGGTTGACTCTTAACTGCTCTCTGGGCAATTAGGAATGGGCAATAAATGCTGCCTAGCCAGCGATGCCCTCAATAACATCTCCTCCCCCCCAACCTTGAATGAATAAAGAAAAAATCATTCTGAGTAGTGTTTAAACTGACTGCAAAGTCCGTCATATCCTCTCCCACTGGAAAGATGGCACTGAGAGCAGTCACAAGCACCATTATTAGAAGCAGGGCTCTGCAAATAACAGCAACATTGATTCTCCATTTCCCTTCTCACTGTAAGGTAGAGTGATGCCAACAGCGTGGGTTCAACTCCCCA